AATTAATTATTTATATATTATATTTATCTCAAACTAAATTTAAAAAATCCAAAAAATTTACACTGCCACATAATTCTTGAAGAAACCTCTTATAGTAAAATTTCATATCCAATTTTTGAATCAAGAATGAAGCCATTAAAGCCAAGAACCCCACCTTTCATCAATGTCTTCCATTTCAAGTCAGTGCCAAAACTATAGACCAACAGCAGTAGAAATTTTATTTGTCTTCATTTTTTTATGGGATAAGTCCATTGACCGTACACAAACAACTTTTAAAAAAGGGTAGAAAACTACTACAAAGATACAAATGTGTGGTTAATTATATACAGTCCCCCTTTTTTATTTTACAATGGGGTTAGGTTTGCTCATTCAACTATCCATCATATAAGGGTTCTTTCACACATATTAAGAACTTAGATTAGCTCAGATATGATTACTAAGCTAATGATGTTAGGAGCTGCCCATTGATGATAATGATGATGATGTTGGCGTGCGACAGTCATCAAGATCATCAAAAATCCAAAATTCATCATCCTCTTCTTCCTCCTCCGACTCTGGCATCTTCCACCGCTCCGACGACATATCGCCATGCTCAATGAGATCCAACACCTAACATCATATATAGATTTGATATGAACAGTATATAATATATGAGTCAAGGGCGGATCCATCATAAAGCCTAGTGGGGGCATAACAAAAATTCTTTATGATATGATTCTTTAGGTAATTTATCTTCCTCCATATATTTTTTAGTGTTTATTATCAGGATTTTTAGGCAAAATTCCCCTCTAAAAGTTTTAAAATACTATGATCTTTAGGCAATTGCTCCCAGCATAATTAAACACATTGTGTAGAAGTGTTATTATTAGAGAACGATGAACCAAATACAAAGAGAAACAGTAAAGAGAATCCAAAAATATCTTTGCAATCAAAATTTATTTCGGGAGCGTTGGGGAAATCTCTGCAATTTTTTTTATAAGTTTGCCCACCTGAAGATAAAGACCGGTTCCGCCCCTGTTAATATGACAATATTATAAATTTGATAATTTGTCACTATTCATTGTAATAAATCACCATCTGAATTAAAGTTTCCAACCTAGCAACATGAGCACCATGTGAATCATAGGTGTGTGTGGTCTCCTTAGCTCAATTCAACAAGAAATAGGCAAAACTTTCCAATCTAATATCTCACCTATCTGTCATGGTTACCTTTCATGTGAATGAAGGCAACAGAAGCAAGCACAAAGGTGAAGACTTTGTTTGATTGCTTTTGTTTCCATAAACGTAGAAGCTTATTTTTTATTTGCACTTAACCCAAGCAAAAGACAAAACTCAAAAGAGTAACCTAAACCCTGATATATTTTATTTTTTTTGAATAAAAAATAATAAATAATCAGTGATTACCTCTGTCATGGAAGGTCGCCATGCTGCATTTGCCCTGACGCATAAGGAAGCTATGAAGGTGAGTCTCTTCAATTGATTAATATCATAATCCTCTCCTAATCTTGCATCTACCAACATTTCTAATTTTCCATCATTTAAATATGGTCTTGCCTGTGACAATTTGTACATCAAAGCCAAAATAGATTATATAACTAATGATGTCATTAGAGATATAATTAAAAATTCAGATGACAAAATACCCAGCTAAGCAGGCTTTTGTGGGATCCATCCACTGGTTTTCTCCCTGATATCATCTCCAATATGAAAACTCCAAATGCAAATACATCAGTCTTCTCATCCACAATCCCATGTGTGAAGTACTCAGGCGCTAAGCATCTAATTAATCATCATATCAAAACAATTTCAGAATAAATCACATATGTTTCATCTAGCTAATAGCCTAATTATATCAAAGAAAATGTCATGAATGATGACTAACCCAAAGGTGCCCTCGATCGGTGCGACGGCACGGTGGTTCCACTCTGTTGGAAGCCATTTTGCTAGCCCAAAGTCTGAAATCTGAAAACAAAACATATCAGAAATTAACATTACATGTTATCATGGAAATGCTAATTGCCAAAGTTAAGAACTTTATTATTCATTAACACATTTACCTGAGGCTCAAAGCTATCTGACAGCAAAACGTTTGATGTTTTGATGTCCCTATGAATGATCCTCCTCTGGCATCCCTTGTGCAGATAATGGAGGCCTCGAGCAGTTCCGAGAGCAATCTTGTACCGGAGTTTCCATTCCATTGGAGGAGAATTTGTACCTGCAGTAGTGTAATATTGACACAAATTAAACCACACATAAAGCTTAGTTCTTTATAAGAAATCAGCGGGATTCTTCATGACTCAGTTGCGTACTGTGGAGATTGGAAGAAACGGAGCCACGAGAAGAGAACTCGAAGATGAGATGCAGGTCCTGATCAATGCAGCAGCCCAACAATGCAGTTATATTGGGATGCCTGACATGACCAACAGTTCCCAGCTCTGTTAAGAACTCCTTCTCCTTCTGTTCATCATTGCCTGCTCTTGTCAGCCGCTTCACTGCAATTACTTGGCCGTTCTCGAGTTCTCCCCGGTAAACTTCTGCATACCCTCCAGTTCCAACTAAGTTATCTATTCATAATTATGATAAAAAAAGAAGATTTTGTGAGCAAATCAACAAACAAGTTGAGAACTTGAGAGACATGGGTAGCGTACTCATTACACATTTTAATTACCTTGATGAAATCCATTAGTAGCTTTGTGAATCTCCTCATAGGAGAAGCACCTCCATGTGGGCTTCGGTGCTGGTTTCACTGCAGGCTCGGCCTTGCCGGAATCAATGGAAGTTTCAGTAGAGCCCTTCTTGGAGATGCCTGAGGGAGAGAGGGAGGAGAAGAGACGCTTGAGGCTTCTGCTCCTCAGATACAACTGTTTCATTCTTCGAATGCACTAAACCTCTGCAAATTCTTGCTCTACAAATATGAAAAGAAAATAAATGAGGAGTTCTGAAGAAGAATCAAGCAGCAAATTGAAGAAAGGCAGGATGGGCAGTACATCTTCCAGAATCAATAAAGGGCTAAGAAGCTCAAGCAACCAGAGCTAAATAGAGCAAGCCAGTTTATTATCTCCAATAAAAATGAAACTGGTGACGGCGTATTCTTTTGTGAATGAATTTATGGAGGTAGCAGAGGGGAGTTGGAAATTGGTGGGAATGAGGGAGATCAATCAGAGCCGTTGATTCGATGGATTATATCCTTAAATTTGACCCCGAAATGCTTGGAATTATTTGGCTTTGTGATTATTGTTGCGTTGGGACTTTTTAGACTTTGGGTTAAATAAGAGGCCTTGGTAAGAGAAATTATTATGTGCCGAGATTGGATTATTTGGAGGTGAATTGGTACATGTCGCATCATCCGGTACATAACTGCGTACACATCAAACGAGTAACGTGTCATTTTTTAATTCACCTTCGAACTGTGTTCATATCCGCGCATAATGATTTCACCCTTACCAGGGTGTGAATTTGTTGAGCTGAGCTCGAGTTATTTTTGACTTAACATTGAGCTTGATTAATTAACGAGTTCAAGTTCGAACTTGAGCTTTAATATACAAATTTGTGCCGGCTTTATGCTTGGATTAATTATAATAGTATTATGATAAAAAAGAGAATTTAGAAAATAAATAATGAAGAATAAGTTAATATAAAATTATGAGATATAATTTTTAAAATTTTTTAATATATTTGAATTGAATGTCAATATAGTTTAGTTGTATTTTATATTAATATTTTGTAAACGAGTGAGCTGATGAGCTAAAAAGTCTAGTAAGGACTGATTCAAAATTGACTCGTTATATCATTGGGCTCACGAGCCATTTAATGAACCGCTCCCAATCCTACTCATAAATTAGCTTGACTCACTCAACCCCTAGGCCTTACCTTGCCTTAAGATTTATATTAAGCTTGTCAACATTTGATTTTATAAAATAATTCGATTTGTGTTCATAAAAACTATTGAGTTCAGATTAATATTTACAAGAATCAAAATATTTTTTTGGTCCACAATCGGGTTAAACTGAAATGTTGGATATGACTAATCTAGCAAGAGCAGTATTTTTTTTTAAATAAAAATAAAATTGATGTTTTTGATGTTGTTTTTTTTCTCTTAATATTGTCGTGTATAAATGGAATCATTGTGTATGCTAGATTGGGATTTCGACTTTTTCGAGTGAAATTTAGGTTTCATTTGGAACGGTTTTTTTCTTGCTTTCTAAAATAATTTTTTAGTACAAAAAAAATCTTGAATTTAAAATTTTTACTAAAAAAATGCTTTAAAAATAATAAGAAAGCTTTCTTAGACTTTGTTTGAGATAACTTTCTTACTACTTTTTAAAATAGCTTAATATTATAAATGTTTTTAACTAAAAATTTTTTTGTACTAAAGAATTACTTTTAAAAATAATAAAAAAACTGTCCTAAGAGAAGCCTTAGTTGATATTGGAACTAACTTGCATGCATAAATAAACTAGAAAAATAAACTAAATATATTGTTTTATTCTAAATACATGTATAAATAAACTATCTAAAAAACAATTCTATAGTTTTTAAGAGTTTTGAGATTTATAGGTTTTGTATAGGATAAATTTTTTTTTCACTATTTTTTTGTTGTTTTTTTAAAAAAATTTGGTACGGTAAAAAAATATTATCTATTAGAAAACAGTAAAAAATTGACCCCAAATAAAATCATAATAAAAAAACACTTTTGCAGAGAAAAATCTTAAAGAGATGCCACTATAAACAAGTAGTATAAATAGTCCACTTCTAAGTAGTTGGATGGCCTTCAATAGGAAAAATTATTAGTTGCGGAGTACGCACCGTCCGCACAAGCATTGGGGGGTGCTCGGTACCGCTCAGTACTGAGCGGTACCGAGCACCCCCCAATACTTGTTGCGGACGATTTTCCCCATCTGCACCTAATAATCTCTCCTTCAATAGAAGATGAAGAAATGAGAAGTGAAAGCCACTATGATTGATCTTCACGCATATCAGTAAACATAGGTAGCATAACCATGGGATGATAGAGTAGTTGTAGCTACTCAGCGTAAATTGTGATATTTTTTAATAGTATTAATAGAGAATCAACCTCTCAAATATAATTATGAAATGCATAATTTTATGTATGAATTAAAAAAAAAAAATTAGAATTTGGATTGAAGGCGGGCAAAATAATTAAAATATTTATTCTTCTTAAAAAAAAAAAATTTAAGGTGGGCAATTATTCACCATAAGTTCTTCTTGATTCCACCACTAATTCTTAGAGAACACTAGTATTGCATTAAGGACTTAATACATTCATATATAATTATGCCGAAAATATTGTGACTATTAATAAGTGTGTGGGAGGATATTTCTTTCAAGTTCTTTTAATTGAAAATTTTTACCTATTACTTGAATTTTATTTATTTTTCACCTCCCTTAATTTGATAAGAGAGATTTGAGGATAAATAAACAAAAAAATATCTCATAAATTAAGTAATTATTAGGTGAAAAAATAAGCTAAAAGAAGACTAAGAGGCTTTTATTCATGTCAGATTCCACGACCATATGAAAGGATAATATTTTATACCAAAAAAGCTAAAGAAGACAACTAAAAAAATGATGCCAAATGAATTGACATTTCCTAAATTACAATTTTGTCCTTACATAAAGAGCTGAAAATTTTCGATGAGAAAATTATACAAAATTTATAGAGATTCTTTTCTTAGGGGGATCAATTAATATGAAAACAATATCATATATTTTTATTTTGATGTTATTTTTATTAGACTATTTTATGAAAATTTTACGTGGATTAAATTTAATTGTAATTTTTTAAAATTATTGCATAATTCTTATTTGACATTCACAATTTGAATAATTTGGATGAATAATAAACTCAAAGAAGTAATATTATCAAAAATCGTTAATCATAAATTAATTGTAATTTTCTTATATTATATTTAAAATAAAAATGTGCATGATATTGTAAAATAATAAAAACCTACATTTTAAATAATTACTAAATAATAAAAGAAAAACAAAGTTATTATTATAGAATGCAATATTATTGACATGAAATTATCATTCAAATATGTCAATGAATCAATATCAATTCAAGCGCACCAACTTATTAATATTCACAACAATAACAATAATATCAAAACCTTTATCCCATATATTAGGCGTGGTCTGCTACATGAATCTTTGTTCTCTATTATGTTCTATTAAGAATCAAATTAACGCTCATTTTAATCAATAAAAATATCATTTCTAATACTTGTTAACCAATTTTAGTAGCTCTACTTTAACTTTCTTAACATAGGATGTATTTAATATATCTACTCTCCTAATCCGGTCATCGAAAAACTGACATTTTATGTGATCAAACCATCTAAGAAGACTCTACTACCAGAATTACTCCAACGTTTTCACGTATTTACTTGTTTCACATTTTGTCTTTTAAGTTTAAAGATCATATCTCTGTAACACTTAATTTTATGCTTCTATTTTAATGGACAACATTCTGAATCATGAAGCATTGCATGTCTAGCAACCATCTTATAAAATCATGGGATGAATTATTTAACTTATTAATATTTACAATAATTTTAAAAAAATATTATCCTTTGGGTAATATTATTAACTGCTCTATTTTGCACACATAGGCTACTCTTAGTTGATATTTTCTAGAACCAAACGAGTCAGCTCTCATTCAAATGACATATTTTAAAAAATTATTCAATTCAATTCTTCATTTTTTAAAAAAATATCAGAATCTTATTTAAGGATAATGGATTTTTTTTTTTTTAAAGCTTCCAATATTGATCTGAAGTTCAAATTAAAAAAAAGGATAATATTTGATAAAATCAATTTGCGACCTATTAATAAAAGCAGTTTTTTATTGATTTTTTTAATTAAAAAATATTAGAAAATTGTTTTACCCAAATAAAATCTAAGCCTGCAATACTTTCAAAAATATAATAAAAAACTATTTTATCCTATTTTGAACAGTTTAAATCCTCACATACGAAGAAATATCTTCATAGTCATATAAATTTACATCATCCATATCATTAAAGTTGTTGAACTATCAATATTAGAATAAAATAGCTTTATTCCGGAATATAAAATAATGGATGAATAATTTAAGTAGATCAAAACTCAATGATCATAGGCTACTTGGTGCTGTTGATTAAGAAGAATTATTACATGCAAATGTCGAAGGTGTTCGCAGGCGAATGAGGAGCCACCACATCATCCAATACACAATACATTACATGAAGTGGCGCCTCCTCATTCGTTTCACACGCATTCGACGTCCGCACGTAATAATCTCTCGTTGATTACACAGAGTCAATCCAGAAATCCTTCGCCATATATAAATTCCAACATAAATGCCCCCCATCACTCTCCATGAAGCATCAAACAGAGACAAAGAAAAGATGAATTCTTTCAACTGAGAAACTGAAGACTGCTGTAATATAAATCAAAGGTTCAATAACAATGAGCTATGGTATAACTTAAAAATTAGGCTGAAATGACTTATCCTGAAATCATTGATCAATAAATAAGACTTTCAAATAAGAATTAAATGCAACAATTTCTATCCAAAGAATTTCTCTCAGGAAGTTACCCGAAGAAGTAGAAAGTCCTTCGATAGTTAGTGCCAAAGCTTCATACAGAAGCCATTTGGCACAGGTGGTGGCCTTTTGCTGCAAATGGCATCAGAGAATGTATCAACCAGCTGACCTGCAAGGCTCCCTGGATCGTCAATCAGAGTATCAACAAAAACACTTACAACTCTCCTCTCCTGTATAGTTGCTCTCAAGCTGAACCAGGTCAGAAACTTAACCCTGAAGTTGCTTTCTATGTAGCCGTCGCACTCGAGCCACCGAATCACTTTAACACAATATTCATAGTCTCCTTCCATAGGTCCATCCTTCTTGCAGAACTCATCACATTTTCCAATTCTTCTCTTTGATGAGCTCCCAGGCTCCTTTTCTGGTTTTGGAAGACCATTCTCAAGCAGTAAATTGATGCTGGATTTTGCTGATCCTGCTTCTAGTCTGCCAGCAGTGACAGGGAGGCAAGGAACAATAACCATCTCATTCCCAATAGGAGCTTTTGATGCATTTTCTGATTTAGGAAGATCTAATGACTGGTTAAGCTCTGCCGAGTTGTTGGAGTCGCGATGCGAATCGGTGTTCAATGTAGAATTGGGTTCCTCGTCCAAGGCTGATCCAGAGAGACCAGGTCTCGCTTCCTGATCCATTTCTTTGCAGCTATATATTTGATCGCATGATTTTTCTGAAACTACTGCGTCAGGCTTTTCTCCATAACCAAAATAACTACCTGGAGATTTATTCAAGTCAGCATAAATGCCTGTGTTATGAGATTCATCTGCTTCAGAAGAAGGATTGGAAAGGCCACTGCTATTAGTCTTTGGTGATGCTTCTTCTGCAGCTGGGCGAATAATGACCTCTTTTTCTATCAAATCATCAGTTCTCACTCCTACTTCCCAATTCTCCAGTTCCATTCTTTCACTAAATGCAACAACTTTGAAAATATATTCTGTGCATGGAAGTAGTCCTGTTACTAGAAATCTTCTATTTGGATTGTACAGTGTACCAGTTGGCTCGGCAGGATAGCCAACTGCATCGACCTTACGATGCCAAATCGTATAGCCAAATATCTCTTCAGATAAAGATGGGTGATGAGTTTCACAGTCCAAAACTATAATGAGTGATGATGATGACTTATCTTCAAATTTTATAAATTCAGATGGAACTGAAATAGCTTCTGCAAACAAAGCGCAGCTTTTAAAAGCAAGAAGAACATAGAAACTGTAATGGTAATTCTGTAAAGTGAAAAATTATTCTGTGAGTATGCCAAACGCCATCCGGAGATCAATCAAAGTGCGCCACGTCACCTCTGTGCTCGGTACTGCGGTTCGGTACCACTGACGTGGCGCATTCTGGTTGATCTTTGGACGGCGTTCTGCATCCGGTCTCCGCACAGAATAATCTCTCCTGTAAAGTGGCTTACGCTGGAATTGCACATTTGCTGATAAAGCAAGTGATGTATCTAGAGCCTCGATCGCTCGGGCACAGAGTCTTTGGACTTCAGCACCAACCGAGAGTCTGTTAACAATCCCACGACCCATGTTTTGCGGGGCAAGCTGAAGGCCAACCTCAGCTTCCAGCTTCTTCATTGCTTCATCCACAATTTCATGCAAACTTTGATATTTCTGAGTTGCACTGAGTAGCTTGTGGCTTAGGGAAACTCGATGGCAAAGCACATCAACCCTCCTAGCATCCTTTGCGATTAAGAGTTGTTTCCTCCAGCATCTGCATGAGCCATGAGAAGTAATTCAGATGGTAAAGAAAAAAGTCGCAAGAATTAAAACATTTTTTTTTCTTTTCAAAATTGCATTCAGCCCAAAAACAACTTCGAATAATATTCAAAGCACACACAACCAAGCAGGTCAAGATATTCAACGATTCATCATTTCTAACAGTACCTTTTATTACCAACCCTTTCATCAAACCTCAACGATACTAGGCAAAATATCAAAGGATGGCATTTGCAAACAAACAATTTTTTTGAACAAACACGAAGATAATGTTGTAAATTATATTTTTTAATGGATACTGAAACATGCAATAAACATTAAAAGTCATCTACAAATAATTGATATATAACCTTCAGCTGAAAGTATGGAATCTCCTGCATGTGAGGGCAAGCTAAGCTGAAAGAAACTGGACACAAAGATCATTAAGCGCTAAAAGAGTGCAGAGAAATAGTAAAAACAATCCACTTCCCATTAATTTCTTATTTTTACCTGAACAAGTTCCATAATTTGCGACAATATTCTAATCAGAATAATAAGACATGAACTGCTATTTCTGAAAACTTGTTTGTTTGCAAGTGCCATCTGAGTTGCTGATGCCAAAGCTTAAGATTTTTGTTCAATGTCTTGTGAAGGTCATCGAATTGAATCACAAAGCAAATCTGTGTCTTGAAAAGGTAAGGTTGTGGCATGACTCCTCCAAAATCGTGCATTTCTGAGAACTTAATGCACTAATTACACAATTATTTTCATTTTATTTCTACATAGACCCATGTAAGCATAAAAACCTCCAAGCTCAAACACCACACTAATGCCTTAAATATGTCCCGTAATGGGAGAAACTTAGCAATTAATGCATATCATATCTTAATTTCCAAAAATAATGTATAACACTGGTATTCTGTCCTCAGCTCTAACAACAACAACAACAAGTCTTTGTCCCACTATGTGGGGTTGGCTACATGAATCCTTTTTCACCATTGTGTCATGTTAAAAAGTTTAATTCTCATTTAAATCTAATAAAAAAAATATCATTTCTAATATTTTCTAACCAAGTCTTTTTAGATCTACATGAATCCTCAGCTCTAAGAATAGACATATTTTTGTTCTTCTCATAGTCTTATCTATAATCTCAACTTTAAAAAAATGCTATGCAACTCCCTTCCAATTGGACTACTTCATATTTTAGAATAGACATATAGTCCAAAGTCCACTGCCATTAATCAGCCTTTCCTGTTAACCATTCGTTATCATGTTTTAATTATTCATAAATATATTCAAACTACGAACAACAATGAGCTGAGAAGTTGAGCACAGGTTGGGTGATAAGATCATGGATAAAAGTTGACACTGAATATTAAAACACAATCTGCACACATAAATAATAATGCATAAAGGAAATTCAGCACATGATATAGCTAATATAACTAAGGCTAATTGATAGGTGAAGGAGGGCTCAAGAAGGAGGCCCCTTGGAGAAGGTATAGGGTTGTTGTTGATGATGATGATGATGATGAACATGAGAAATTAATCATAATATATAGATGGTATGGAGATAATTAAGTCCAATTTTTAAGCACTTTCATAACTTAACATACAATTTAAATTTGAATTTAATTCATTAAATTTTCCTGCAATTTTCCCCAAAAAAAAAAATTTTCCTGCAAGTTTTAATGTTGGTTGTTGACCTAACATAAATTGTCAACCTTTCTAATTTAGGCTTAGGATCGATAAGGACAGTTTTTTAGAAATTAATATGCAAAAACCTTAGAAAACACCAACCAAAAATATATCTAAGACTTCTGGTTCAAAAGTTCAAGTATAATCACGAGGGCGAAACAAAAGGTCAATAATTCCTTTTAAGGAACCATCAAATATTTTTTAATGAGGCAAAAAATTCTTGGCAGTATTCTTGCTGATGTTATATTTTACCAGAAAATGACTATCCTATGCACTATCAAAACAACAAAACGTTCACCAGCATAAAGCTTTATATAACATTGTAATTCATGGTTCTTCTTGGATAGTGAGTGATCGACCAGAAATTAAATATATGAGTTACATTTGCTGAATTACAAACATCAAGGAAAAACAAAAACACCATATGTAAGAGCTCAAGCATCTATTTTCAAGGACCTTATCCATGCTTCAGTGAGGACGCCCAAGGATGTTTACTTTATCCCAGTCTGGCAGGAGTAAGCTTCCTAGAGAACTCATTATATCGCACTAACCTTGGTGGATAAAAACTTATGATATAAAAAAAGTAACATATTAGATGAAAAAAATGTATTATTATAGTTCAATCTCGCAACTAAACCATTCGATGTAAAGCTACTAGCCAATCAGCTAGCCAGTATTAACATAAACCAAAAAATATGAAAAAAGAACTCATTAGAAAGGAAAATGAATTTCCATTATAGCACTACATCACATGACCACATAGTAAACAAAGATATATATAGTGAACCAATTGCCTTGGCACTAAAATTTAGCAAACATAGAAAAACAATGAAATCTTTCACTACTCCAAATGGTTTACTATAAAGCACATAATTTACAAGAAAAAAGCATAAATTCAACAAGACATGTGAATTCTATAGCTTACCAAGCAAAAAATTCTTAAAATTCTCTATTTATGTATGCATGCATGAAAGAAAATCCAGAATATGATATATAAGTTTAACATTGTGGGTCACAGGAGTATGAATGTTTCATCACATTGATTGAATTTCCCTAGGGATAAAAGCGTATGAAGCTGATCCTTAAGTAATTTCACTGGTTATAAACAAAATGTAGCATGAAAAATTGAGACAAGCTCGACAAATAAATAGAATTGTTTCGATCAGGAAACATGACAAAGGTTTCCCTGCAAATCAGCCAAGTAGAATAGACCATGCTAATAATCGTTTTAAAAAAGAGAGTGCCAGGAGTAAAAAAGAAATATTTCGTATTGAGCTAATGAAAGCATTGAAAATACAATGCTGCGTGGATAATGAAAGGAAGGCAAAAGATATTACCCCAGCAAGCTGTTCACTCTTCTACAATGAACGCAAAAATAGCTCCCATCAAGTTTTGAACACTGGCCATTATTTGCAATGCCAGTTCTTTCATCTTTCAGGGCACAATCTAGATGACAAGATAAACGACATATATCACCTTGACTGGAATCTTCTGAGCTGCAAAACAGCCATAGGCTTGGGTCCTTGTTATCATCATACTTGTGACAGATGCAGCAAGAACATCTTTTGCAAAACAGGTCCTCCAGGCTCAACGGCGCCCGGCAAGCTACATTAAGGCAGAAACGGGTACACTTTGGAGCTTCACTTTCATCGCTAAGTGAGACAATGTTTGCTTCAACCATCAAACGTGAAGGGTGATCATTTTTCCTCTGCCTTTTCGCTGGTGTTTGAGGATCAAGCATGGAAGGATGCTGAGTTAAATCTGTGTCTTCTACATACTTGCCGGACTTCTTCTTGGACACAATTTTAAATAGATTCTCTATCAGTTTCTGCTTCGTTAACCCAGTGTACTTCCTTTCCTTTCCCATCTCCACACAAAGAATCTGTAGAAGATCCCTGCGGCTCCATGTCTGTAGCTTTTCAGGGGCACTCTCTGGCCACTTGGCCAATTGCCAAACAATCTCCCTCTTTTCCTTGATGCTCAACTTTTGGCATTTTGATGGGTCTAGTACATATCCTGTTGTATAATATACGCCAAATATAATAAAAACAAGTAGCATAAGGAATAATAAATCAAGAGAATTCGATTGGTTGAATGCCATCCAAAAAAGTAGCAATAAAGCATATAAAAAATCTTCATAAACCACTACAAATTGTTATTCCATTTTACTTAAATCTCTTTCCAGAAAATATCTACGGAGCATTTCGCCACAGGAAAAAGAAAAAAAAAAACAGGCTTGAAATCCAATGAATTAAGCTGTTGAAAAAAAGGAAGATGAAGAATAGACATGAAATTGGACTTTCCAGGCCAACCATTAGCGCCGAGCACGACAGCTCTACACAGGTTTACATACAAATTAGTGGATATTAAACATGAGATATGTATTCAACCTTTCAAACTAAGAAAACAGAAGGTAGATTCTGATATAAACAATATACCATCATTTGAAAAGATGCTTTGTCCTTTCATGAAGAGAAAGAGGTAGAAGAGTACTAGTAGATGAAATTCCAAAGCCTAAGCGTACCCTAGCAAAGCTATAGTCCCCCTGCAATGCCTAAAACCTCACCAAAAGTACTAGCAGAAAATTGGTTTAAATGAACAGACAAACCCTCCAAAGGCCCCAAATGATCGAATTTTGACCGCACCCAGAATGATTTCCACTCAAAATTTGATGGCGCAAGCAGATCCAGCGCATCCCGCGCAAAAAATAACGGAGGAACGGTAAAAAACCGAGCGGCGGAAATCACAAGAAGAAAACGAAAGAAGCGGAAACCCACCGGAGAAAGGGGGATCCATGGCGGCGTGAGTCTTCTTCTCTTCTTCCTGTAATTTTCACATTACCAGAAGGGAAGAATCTCGTCTTCTCCCCTTCTGATCATCCTCAAACGCTGAGAGAAGAAAAAACTGATGAAGCCAATAATCCAATAAATTTTATTTGCAAAATAAACCTTTTTATATTCTTATAGATTACAATTGGTCTATAGGCTTCCAATTGAACTATAGAAGTGGTAGAGGATACTATGACCATCAGCACATCCTACGGACCATCCAGCAATAAATTGGCACCAATCTCAAAGCTAGGTGGTGATCTTGAAATGCTAATGGAAATTTTTAATTTTTTTTAAATGCTAAAAATTTCAGCATCAAAGTAATATAATAAGCCCTAATTTTTTACTTAAAAAAACTTTCACCACTCATTGTCTCAAGTATTATATTATTAATAAAAAATATAATAAGATATTAAAATTTTTTATCATCACAAAGCATTGTTATTATAGCCAAAATATAAATAATTTATTGTAATATTTAAAATTTATATATTTATAAAATCATCTAATTATTGCTTACATTCATTAAAGTCTATTATAAATATTAAAATTCATAATAAAATTTTAACGAACACATTTTCATATTTTTAAATTCTCAACAATTTGAATAAGAGAATTTTAATTATACGAATTTAATAAATTATATAAACATGCACAAAAATAAAAATATTTCTCTCCCAACAATTTTAATGGAAAAATAATTAGGATATCAAAATTAAACTTTAATCTATAGAAATATTAAGATTATTAAATATTTTTTAAAATAAAATAATATGTGATTAATCAATCAAATTTTATATTACATTCAAGTCAATTTTATACTCTACATAGTTTTTCCACAAATAATAATTGTCTGAATTAGAATTAATTATTACGTGCAGACGTCGAATGACGTATGGAGATCAACCAGAATATGCCACGTCACTCATGTGCTTCGGTATTGCTCGGTAGCACTGACGTGGTGCATTCCGATTGATCTCCGGAGGATGTTCTGCTTCCGATCTCTGCACAGAATAATTTATCCTGAATAGAGCAAGAGTGATTCTCCACCCTTGATTGTCTTTAAAATTCATGTATCATTATATCACAAATGATAGGCTATCAAGACATTAATATAGGAGGAATATTAAGATTTAAGTCGTGAAGTTGGATGGAAATTTAATAGTAAATCTAGTGATAAATGCAAATTGTATGAAATTATTTTCTTTCATATGCCTTAAAGTTTGGCGCTGCATTTATAATTTTTAGCTTTAAGAACGTTCTTTATAAATATGTCATTCTATTTTTGTGAATTGCATAAGGGGAAGGTGAACTTTTCTTATTATAAAAATATTGGTGGAGCCTCTTTAATGCAAATAAATTTAGGATTTGAATTTTATTGAAAATATATAAATATATTTAGCAATAATGAGTTCAAAAATTTTCAAGAAATGCACATTTCAGCTTGATCTGTTAGTTGAGAGTTTGGAGTACTAGCTAAGAGGTCTTGGATTCGAAGCTTGTTTATATGAATTATGTGTGAGATTTTATAGGTGAAATTTATTTAGTTATTGTTTTTTTTTTAAATGAAATTCTATATGTTTCTAATTAAATAATTATAAATTCATTAGGAATTTCCTTAGTCGAAGAATACCTTTTAATTATCATTAATATATGAAAGTCGCTATCAAATCATTAAATTTCATAGGTGAGAGAACTAAGTCATGTATGTGATGCATAACAATAAAAAGCTAATATAAACAAGCTTATTTTATTTATTTATTTATTTTTTGGAATGGGGTATTCACCTGCTGCCACTTCAGAAATGGTGTTTGGCGGCATGACTAATCCTCTTCTTACGTAGAAGAGGCACCCACCATAGAAAACTTCTGACCCGCATTTGATTGGATCCCACTTAAGAGGCGCAGCCGTTCGAGAGGATTCAAGCACGGGTTGGGGGTTCCCAATCGTACACGCCCACCAACCAAGCTAAGCAACCGTCAAAGTTAGAGTCAGTTTGGTACAATGATAGCTTTTATAAAGATGATTGTGAAATTATTGTCGTGAACTAAATATAATTGTGATTAAAAGAAAGCTCTCTCAAGCATATCCTTAATTTATATTCTTCAATTGTTTGTATAAAGCCGTCTTAATTTTATATTAAAAGCTATATATATATATACACACAAAATAGTGAAAAAAAAAAGAAGAAAATGAGTTAAATACATATTGATACGTCACCAAAATTTATTTGCATTAAAGAGGCTTCACCAATATTTTTATTTTAAGAAAAGTTCAGCTTTCGTTTCTCCAATTCACAAACACAGAGCTCCATATTTAGAAAGAATTTTCTTAAAGCTAAAAATTATAGAGATGTCGCACCAAACTTTAAGGAATACAAAAGAAATTAATATCATACACTTTGCATTTATCACTAGTTTTTCAACTACATTTCCATCCAACTTCACGACTTAAATCCAAATATCCCTTCTATAATAATGTCTTCATAGCCTGGCCTTTGTGATCTTATGATACACGACTTTTAAAGACAATCAAGGGTGGGAATCACTCTGGTGCATCCTGGAGTATTCGCTTTAGAGAAATATAAAGTTTAGTGTCTTAGCGTTGTACAAAAATCCAGCACACAAGCAGATAAGAGAGAGGGTGTATCGTTCATAAGAGACACTAGAGTTTTTATGTAGAAACCCCTGAAAAGGGGAGGAAAACTACGGGGCATGGCCTAGTTTGAATGAATCCACTAGTATTTGCAGTCGAATACAAATGAGACCTTTCCTTGAGAGAAGGCCTTGACTTGATGACACAAATATACATCATATAAAGTGCTTTACATGGTGGTAGTTACAATAATCAACATAAACATGTTTGTTTGGTCGACATGACCATATTCGATATGATAGAGGTCGGAAAGGTCGTATTAAGCGACGAAGGTCGGAAGGACCATAGTTGATAGGAGACAGAGGTAAAAAAAAGCCATTGTCTAACAATGAAAGTTTGAAGTGTGAGACCTCGTTCCCTTACTGTTCCTCTCTGAATTGGATTTTCCTCCCAGGATCGGCCGTGACGATGTTGAGATCGGCCAGGCCGATCAGTGCATTGAAAACGGCTGATTTCTGGAATGATTTCTGGAGTGATTTCTGGACTGGATCGTCCAGGACGATTTTGGATCGTCCTGGGACGATCAGATACGACAAGAATCCCGAGAGCATCGTCCTGAGAAATCGTCCAGGGCCGATTGGTTTTTGTTCTGATCGGCCAGGACGATGTGGCGATCGGCCGGGCCGATCAGACTAAGCATATAAGGAAATCAGCTTGTTTTGAGGAGAGAGAAAATCATTTTTATAAAATATCTGATTTTGAAGAGAGAGAAAGAGAAGAAAAGTAAAGGAAATCTTGGGTTTCGGAGGCCGCGGAGCGCTTTTCGTCTGACGCTGCTGATGGAGAAAGTGTAGATCTCATGGTAAGAACTCCGAATCCTATTTATGTTTTCAGAGATATTGAGTTTTGATCGTGTTGTGATCTGTTTTGTGTTTTCGTATTCGAATTTTGGACCTGATCTGGTATTGACACAACTTTCACCGCACAACTTTTAGAATGTTATAGATATGAATATTGTACACGATTTGAGTATATTCTGCGATGATTTTACCGGTCGGAATTGGTTCTACGCGATTTTAATTGAATAGAAAAATATCAGGATGTTTCTTGATGTGGATTCTGTAGAATAATAGTCTTATATTGTTGTCGTGAACATTCTGTTGTAATTTGGTGAATTGTGATTTTGTAGGATTTTTGTGTAAATTTGATAGACTGCCGTTACTCTGCCCGATTTTCGTATGATTTCTGATTTGTCTGAAAT